CCGAGCCAATTCTTCTGTTTTAATAGGCAGTTTCCCTGTTTGATTTTAGTGCATAGTGCTTGTCCTACCTTTGTGAGCTGTAATTTAGCCTTCAGATATCTTAGTGTTGTCCTCTTCTATCTTTATTGGAACTCCTGTTCCATCTCTCAGGGTGCTACTTGGGCTGACTGGTGAGTGTGAGGCCCCAGCTCTGCTGCTACTAAGGACATAATTGGCTTGATATTGCCACAGGTATGGAAAAAGGACCTAGTTGCTGCCATTGTGGTGAATCAAGTCTACCACTGTTGGAGGTGTGGGGTGAAGATCCTGCTGATGCTGTGGTTCATTGGGCCCATTAGTGTCCTTAATGTGGCCCCGGGAATGTATCTTCCCCACTAGGTCTCTGCTAAGCTATCCCTTTCACAGTCCTTTGGCCAGATAGCAAAATTTTATTATTTGTTTATGTATCTGTTTCTCTCTCTGTCTGTCTCTCCATCCATTTCTGTTGGTAGTCCCAGATTGCAGGTTTCAGTCATGTTTATTCTGTGATATGTAGGAGATAAAAGGAAAACCCGGCAAATGGTGGTACTTTCTTGAAGTTTTGAGTTCCTTAACTAGTTTACGTCTCTCTCTCTACTTTCTTGGAGTCCTTTTGTGATTGTCTGTTGAATTATTTTTAGGATATTTAGTTGTATTTGGAGGAGAGAAGTAGAGAAATGTGATCCTATGCCATCATATTCTAGAACCCTAGAACTTTAAAATTTTTTTTTGCACTAGTATCTATTGACAATGAATGTGAAATGGTTAAAGCTTTTGCTTTAATTGGCACTCTTTAGAGTGTTTCTCTGCATTTGTTATTTACTGTAGGGACAAGATAAGAATGATTTTTCTCTTTAAATTGTGTAGGAAATAGAAATGTCATGTTTTAATATCCAACTATTTATTTACTTATTTATGTATTTATTTTTAGGGAGTGGAGCAACTGCTGTGGTCCAAGCAGCTTATTGTACCCCTAAAAAGGAGAAAGTGGCAATCAAGCGGATAAACCTTGAGAAATGTCAAACTAGCATGGATGAACTCCTGGTATGGACATCTCGTATTTCTTAAATGGAGAGAGATATTCCTATATATTCCTGTTAGAGTGGGAAGTTATTTGAAGTTTTTTTTTTTTTGAGACAGCACCTTAAGCTGTTGCCCTGTTTAGAGTGTTGTGGCATCACAGCTCACAGCAACCTCGAACTCCTGGGCTCAAGTGATTCTCCTGCCTCTGCCTCCCAAGTAGCTGGGACTATAGGCGCCCACCACAACGCCCGGCTATTATTATTATTATTATTTTTTTGGTTGTAGTCATTTTTTTTTTTTTTGAGACAGAGGTTCATTGTGTTGCCCTTGGTAGAGTGTTGTGACATCACAGCTCACAGCAACCTCAAACTTTTGGGCTTAAGTGATTCTCTTGCCTCAGTCTCCAAGCAGCTGGGACTATAGGCACCTGCCACAACACCCAGCTGTTTGCTGCAGTTGTCATTTTGGTTAGCTGGCCTGGGCCAGATTCGAACCCGCCAGTCTGGGTATATGTGGCTGGCACCCTACCAACTGAGCTACGAGCACCACCTATTTGAAGTTTTTGATTTGTTTCTTTTAAAAAAAAAAGGTTTATGTTTAATAAATAATATTATAAAATTTATAAAATCTGGGTAAGTAGAAAGAACAAAATTAGGTATAATCTTCTTACTTTGAGATTATATAACATTTGCTGTATAATTCTTAAGACTGTGAACGTTTAAATACCTTTGTATTTTTGGCTAGGCATGGTGGCTCAGGCCT